ATCACTTTCAAATAGGATATTGACTCTCTTTCATGGATTGAATTTATCATCTGGGAGCCACTCATGTTTAAAGATGGAGGATTTGTGTGCTGCATTGTGTGGGCAACCTAGTACACTTTTAGAATGAATGTCTCATTTTTAAAGACATCTCCTCACCTTTGAGTTGTACCTGAGTCATCGCTGACTCTCCAGGAGTTGGTTGGAGGACCCACATCGCGTGGGAAGAGATTGTGGCTTTCTCCTGTGGAGCCAGTGGTGGATTTGAGCTGCCAGAGAAGCACGAATTTAGTATTTGTAGTGAAACTTCCTACGGACTAGGCCACCAGAGGTGCCTTTGATCTAACACATCCTGGTGGCCCAGGTCATAGGGAGCTATTCTCCAAGCACAAAGATGATGCCCCTCTGATGGCTCAAATCTATAAGCAGCTCTGCAAGGAAAAAGATAGGCAACTGTCCTGTGTCATTTACAGCCTATGAAAACCTGCTGGATGGTCAGCACGGAGTTGGCTCTGATCGATGGCAATGAATTGGAGAGTTTTGAGATCAACATAGTTAGTGAAAATTTTGAGGAGAGAAGTGATTAGGAAAATGTACCCAGGCAGTCAACATCCATAAAATTTAGGCTTGCATGTTTCAAATATTTCCTGTGATTGTTCCACAAAGTCAAATATTATGTCTTAAACAATATGGAGAACTCCTTAAATCATGTGACTTAGAGGTAAGACACAAATGGTCCTTAAATCATTCCTTTAACAGGCATGGTATTATATCACATTGAAAAAGTTATTAAAACTATTTTAATGTAATTTTTCCTTATAAGAATGTGATAGTATTACTTTGATAAGTGCTAGATTTATTGAGAAAATCAAGTCATGTACCAATATAAAAATATATTGTAATCTCAATGTATTTACTAATATTTAAAAATAAAAATGCAGAGAGGCATAAAAAAGGAACAAAATTAAGAACTCATTATGCAATGTACAGAAATAGAGATGTGTTGTGAATGTGGGATAGTGTGAAACACAATGTATACAAACTGTAAGCAAACCATATAAAATAATTTTTAATTTGTAAAAATAATAGATGTCAAAGTCACACAGTTTACTTAGATATGAGGATATTTGAATTCCAGATATGACTCTATAATTAAGGACTCTGGGAATCAAAGGTTTATCATTAAAAATTGTCTTTCCTAGACAAAATATTGACAGTATAGAGAGAGCTCCATTGGCCTCGTGGATAGAAAGTGATGTTCCCAAGCCAAAGGTGGGTGATTTTAATCTATGTCCCTTAGGTCTGGTTTTAACTGGTTTTGGTCAAACATTCTTCTAAATGGTATAGCACTGGTCTGTCCATTTGCTGTACAGAGGTAACTCATGGTTGCTGTGATGCTAAACACTGTGACACTGATGTGTCTAATGCAGTAATGGTTATCCATGGTGGACAGTGTTTGATGAAGCTCCTCGATTTAAACAAGTTAGGAAGCAGGTGTGGCATCCACTTCTGAAATAGCTTGTCTCCAGAAACTCTATGAACTTATAAAAATGATCATAGTTAGACAAGTGTTCAGGTCTTTCATTCAAAAGGTCACCATGAGTCATCTATGACTTGTTGGCAGTTAACAACAACAATTATTGTATTAAGAAGAGAGAATTAAGATGGGATACAAGCCCTACCCTACTAGAGGCTTTTAATAAGCTCATGGGACCTCAGCACCAGGTGTCTTTTTCCTTTGAAAAATCTCACACAACTGAGACACGGCTTCCAATTGCTCAGCAGCGTCTACACCACCAGCCTGTATCACCCACAGCTGCCCATAGTTGCTGTCTAGCTGTGCCACCACTGCCACTGCCAATCTCCAGGATCCTGGTCCATTGTTCAACAGTTTCTTCAAAACCAGCCTGCATACCTGCAGTTATGTGAGTCATTCCCCTGATGGGTCTGAGTCATGGGAAGACCTTCTAACAAATCTGAACCCAAGGACCGTAGATGAATTGGGATACTGAGAGCCAAGGATGAAGCTGTTCATTTAAAAAGTTATGGACTCCTTCAGCTGGTTAAACCTTTGTAACTACAATGACCAAATACTTTTCAGAAATAATTTGCAATTGATCTTAGCAGAACTATAAAAACAAGGACATATCTAGATTTGAAAATCCAATTCTAAATCACTAGATGAACTGTCTAATTTACTATATTATCAATGGGAACATTCATCTATGTCATGTGACTGAGGGAATGAGAAATGAGTTCTTCCACCTTGGGAATGGAGAATAAGAAGCTCACATAATATTCTTCCATTTGTATCTCTTTACCAAGTCACAATGGAAGAATATCAAGGAATATGCCTAAACCTGTACAAAATACACAACCTGGAACAAAGGAAGTAATGTAAATAGGGAGAATGAATGAATGAAGTGAACAGTATCCAGCAATTTATGTGAGTTATTGGTTGATATAACTGAAGAATGATGATCTTTTAATCTGTTCAAAACTTGGGGTAAGAGGGAAGGAGTAGGTTGTAAGTAATTATGGATCTAGTTATTCAGTAGAGATTCAAAATGATGTTAGTTTCTTATTTTAAACAAAATGTTTTATTTTAATTGTCATTTTAACAAATGCTTACAGAAAAGTTAAATTTCCATTCATTCATTGTTGCACATTTCACCCCCTCTCCTTCCCTTCCCACTCCCCAAGTTGACTTTTTTCCCACTAGTTTACTTACAAAATTCTAATGCAAATTCGAACAAATTCTTTCAATTTCCCTCACCTCCTCCCACCCATCAAATTCTGCAACCCGATGATTCATCCCCTCTTCCCCCTGTACATCCACATCCCGATGCTTCCAGCCTCTCTCACCCTTCCTGGATCCTTATACTCAAGAGCAGCCAACTAGTTAGTATATTGATTCCCATGTTTGGGTTTTTAAATTATCTACATTCAATTCTAATGATACTTTCATAATCAATCAGTGGCTTATAAATCAAGTCTTTGTAGCTCATCTAGGTTAAACTGTTTGGGTTACAGGTAAAAAAAAATAATTTTAAGAAAATATTTCCTAATGATAAAAAAAGTCAGATTTGGATTCAATTTGATGTAAATTCAGTCTTGACTTTGCTACTTTCTTCAATTTTCAACCTTTAGCTAGATAGCAATGAAGTTCAGTTTCATCACTTATAGTTTAGAGTAATATCTCCCATGCTGTGTGAGGATTAAGCGACAGAAAGTAGCATAGTAAAATATGGTCCCTAGAACATAATAAATGATCGGTAAATAATCCCTATTTTAGACGTTCCTAGTTTTCAAGGGTCCCACTGCAAACTGAAAGGTTGGAAATTTTGTTGTTGTTGTTATTATGTGCCGTCGAGTCGTTTCCAACTCAGAGCGACCCTATGCACAACAGCCCTAAACCCTGCTCTATCCTCCGCCAACCGCACCGCCTCTGACACACCCATCCCGATTACCCCAGTCACTGAATCAATCCATCTCATAGAGGGTCTTCCCCTCCTGCGCCATCCCTCCACCCTCCCAAGCATGATGTCCCTCTCCAAGGACCCGTCCCTCCTGGCAACATGCCCAAAGTATGTCAGACGAAGCCCCAGAATCCTTGCCTCCAAGGAGTAGCTTGGTTTAATCCTCTCCAAGATGAATCTGTTTGTTTTCCTGGCAGTCCATGGTACATTCAGTACCCTTCTCCAGCACCACAGCTCAAAAGCATCCACTCTCCTTCTGTCCTCCCTAGTCATTGTCCAACTCTCTGATGCATAACAAGCGATTGCAAATACCATAACCTGTATCAGGTGCACCTTAGTCTCCAGAGAGACACTGTTGCTCCTGAGTACCTTTGAGAGGTCCCTAACAGCAGACATTCCCATCGCGATACGCTTTTTGATTTCCTGACTGCTGGTGCCAAGAGTGTTGACTGTGGAGCCGAGCAAACTGAAGCTGTGAACACTCTCAATCTCTTCGTCATCCATCCTGACGCTGCTAATTGGTCCAGTGGCGAGAATCTTTGTTTTCTTGACATTGAGCCTTAGTCCATACTGAAGGCTTCAGTCCTTGACCCTTCACAGCAAGTGCATGAGGTCCTCCTCAGTTTCAGCAAGCAGGGTTGTGTCATCTGCATAACGCAGATTGTTAATAGATCTTCCACCAATCCTGATGCCACAATTCTCCTCATAGAGCCCAGCCTCTCGGATAATCTGCTCTGCATACATGTTGAAAACGTATGGAGACAGGAGGCATCCCTGGCATACACCCTTCCCAATTTTGAACCATGCAGTGTTACCCTGCTCTGTTCTGACTACTGCCTCTTGGTCCAAGTATAGGTTTCGTATTAGCACAATTAAATGTTCTGGGATTCCCATTCTTCTCAGAGTCAGCCACAGTTTGTTATGATCCACACAGTCAAATGCCTTTGGTCAACATAAAAATACCTTGTAAAAAAATACCTGGTAATTCATTAACTTCTGAAAAAGAAATCACTGATTATTCTATGAAGCCAATCTTGCATTGACACGCATGGACTCACAGTGAGCTGGAATCAACTGAGGAGTTGGTTTTTGCTCATGTCATAACTAAAGCAATTATTTAAATAGTGACCTCTACTATGACAATAATCGATGACACGTAACAACAACTATGACAGCAATCATTGCTATGCAATGGCAAAACAATAACAAAAATCATTGTTAGGTGCCACTGAGTCGAGTACAACCTGTCGTCACTCTGTGAACACAGTTTTGAACCCTGTCCTCTCCTGTGTCAACCTCACACTTCCTGACACACTGGAGTCCGTTACACCAGTCACTGCATGACCCATCTCATCCAGGGGCTTCCTCTCTTTTGCCGACCCACACTGCCTTTCCAAGCATGATGTTCCTCTCCCAGGAATTCAGCATGTACTGAATATGCTGATTGATGTAAGTGGTCTTCTTTTTCATTCTGATCCTGTTTTCTCATTGCTCCAGGGAAGCTACCTCTGCTAAGTGATCCCCATGGAGAACAGCACAGAGGTGGCTGAGTTCATTCTGGTGGGCTTAGCCAGGGACCTAGAACTGCAGATTCCACTCTTCATCACCTTTTTCCTCATCTACCTCATCACTCTGGTCGGAAACCTGGGGATGCTGCTGCTGATCCTGCTGGACTCTCGTCTCCACACCCCCATGTACTTTTTCCTCAGTAACCTCTCTCTGGCAGACTTTGGTTACTCCTCAGCAGTCACTCCCAAGGTCATGGCCGCGTTTCTCACAGGAGACAAAATGATCTCCTACAAAGCTTGTGCCACGCAGTTCTTCTTTTTTGTAGCGTTCATCACTGTGGAAAATTTTCTCTTGGCTGCGATGGCTTACGACCGCTGTGTGGCAGTGTGCAAACCTCTCCATTATACAACCACAGTGACCACTAAGGTGTGCGCTTGTCTGGCCCTGGGCTCCTACGTCTGTGGTTTCCTAAACGCTTCCATCCACACTGGGAACATTTTCAGGCTCTCCTTCTGCAGGTCCAATGTCATCAATCACTTCTTCTGTGACGCTCCTCCTCTTCTGGCTCTCTCATGTTCCGACAGATACATCACAGAGATGGTCATTTTCTTGGTGGTGGGTTTCAATGACCTCTTTGCTATCCTTGTAATCTTTATTTCCTATTTGTTTATATTTACCACTGTCCTGAGGATGCGTTCCTCTGACGGACGCCAGAAGGCCTTTTCTACTTGTGCTTCCCACCTCACTGCTGTCTCTATCTTCTACGGGACAGGTATCTTCATGTACCTGCAGCCCAGCTCCAGTCACTCAATGGGCACAGACAAACTGGCATCAGTGTTCTATGCCATAGTCATCCCGATGCTGAACCCTCTGGTCTACAGTCTTAGAAACAAAGAGGTCAAAAATGCCTTCCAGAAGGCTGTTGGCAAAGCAAAGTCTTCTATAGGATTCATGTTTTAATTTTACCAATATATTAAGATGGTTTCATCCGATTTATGTATATCTGTGGTAAAGAGTTTCCTTCTTAGCTCCCAAATGTCTAATATTCTGAAGCAAACCCTCTAGATCTTTGTTAATCAAAAGTTTCAGAACATGTTTATTTTAGACACATTAGAATCGGATGAAACTACAGATAACAGATCAACTTTAACTTGCATGGGGTGGCTATCAGTCAGAACTGACTTGACGACAGCTGATAGATGTATAAGTGCTAAGAAAGAATCACTCATAAATACTGGATTTTTTATTTTAAGATCTTTCTCTATTATACTTAATAATTGTAATTTTTATGTATTCATCCAAACTCTGATTTGCACAGATAGATAATACCCAAAAGTATATATTTTAATTACACATTCATCATTTATAGAATCCTAAGATACCACGTTCCCATAGAAGTAGAAATACATTAAAGAGAAAACTGGATACACTTATTTTTTATTAAAATTGAGAACATTTATTTTGGTGTTCAAGAATGCATTCTTAAATATACATATTCTCACATTATTTAATATAAATTATCTTTCTGTATAGACCTTTTAATATAGTATTTCACTTTATTTTATTTACAGAAATAAAAAATTTTGGCTTTTTAAAGAAATAAATCTCATAAGACTGATTTCGAAGGTCTTGCTTGATTTTAGAGTTTTTTTTTTTTAGATTTTAACGAAAGTTTTAAAAAAACTTGGATTTTCCATTCATACATTCTTACTCATTTTCCTTCCTGTCCCTCCTCCCCCCCCCAGGTTCTTTCTTTTCTTTGGAAAGAAAGTTCTGTCATTGTTATACAGTTCGCCCTTGCTTGCTTGTCTGTTCATATTTTACTTGAAAATAAATGCCCTTAAGTGAGTATTTCTTTCTCCATATAATTTTATATCTAAGTGACTTGTGATCCAGAAATCACTTTGTTTATACAATATTAAAAGAGTAAATAGGACATAGGAAAAGAAATATATTTTAAAACCCTGAAATAAAGAGAATGCATTCAATTTTTAAAATTTTATATATCAAACACTAAGAATAGTTATAGTATTAACAGTGTATTTCATTATAAATATTATGAATTTGTTCATGTACCAATCTGCTATTATTTTGACTGAGACTGTGGTAAATTTTTTTAATCTATATTTATTCCACTGCTGTAATAGCTTGCTTCCAGAAACCCTACGAACCTGGAGAAAGGATGAAAGTCACACAAGTGTTGAGGACTTTCATTCACAGGGTTGCTATGAGTCGCCTACGATGGCACTTAACAACAACAACCACCACATGTATATTCCACATGTTTATATAACCAAATTATCACAATGAATCTAATTTTAATTTTTTTCAAATATCGGAGTTTTTCAACAATTTTTTTTTCCACCATGAAGGTCATTTGAATGACTTTCAAATTTAGTTGAATCAATTCTTGTCTTTGCTATTTTTTAATTTCCATGATAATTTTTTTGTTGTTGAAAGTATATACTATAAAACATGTACCAATCCAACAATTTCTTTATGTAAGATTCATTACATTACATTAAACATACATTGATTACATTCTTTTAATTGGAAACATTCTTACCATCCTTTTCTGAATTTTTCTCCTCTTATTAACAATTACTACCCATTACGCTTCCTTTCTAACCTTTCGAGTTACTATTTCCAGTTTTATTCCATATAGAGAGTTCTTAACTAATTAAGCTAGTGTTTGAGTTTAGAAGGTCCTCACGGTATATTTCTGGTTTATAGTTTAAGGCTTAGATATTATCATAGAGCAGTCATTTTGGGGGTTCGTTGAGGTTCAATGGCTACAAAAAGTCTGAATCTCAAGAAAATTTAACACTCTGATCTGAATTTTCCCTTTTCAGATGAGAATTATGATACAGAATCTTTAATCAAAACATTCGGTAATGATAACTGGGCACCATCCAGTTCTTTTGGTCTTGTGGCAAATGAGACAGTTGTTCATGGAGGCAATTAGTCAGACATTTCAATCTCTCTATTTCTCCTTTTGCTCCCAGTGAAGAGAGACTAATAGTGCCTTTGATAGTTACTTACAAACTACTAAGATTCCAAGGACTATCCAACACTTGGAATTTTTACAGTGGTAAAATATTGGAAATCATGTCCTCAGTGTCATCAACCTGTTGTTCCAAGTCACAGTGTTTCAGATCACTTCATATACATGTGAAAGCTGCAAAATGAATAAGAAAGAACAAAAAAGACCCAATACCTTTGAATCATGTTGTGGGCAAAGAATACTGAATGTGCCAGGGATTTCCAGAACCACAAACATGTCTATCTTGGGAAAAGTTAAAAACCAGAGTGATCTTTAGAAACAAGGATGAGGGGAGCTCTGGTGGCCTAGTGGCAAGAAGCTGCACTGCAATCCCAGAGGCGCACAGTCGAATCCACCAAATGCTCTGCCGGGGAAGGAGGGATAATCTCCTCCTGTACCAGTCAGATCTGATTTGACGGTACACTCACACAAAAATAATAAAATAAAAACTAAAAAAAAAAAGAGTTACATATACTCTTAAAAAAAAAAAGAAACGAGGATGATGACACTTTATCTCCCCTACTTTGGACATGTTATTAGAAGGGATCAGTTTCTGGAGATGGATGTCATTGTTTTTGTAAAGTAGAGGGAAGGCAAAAAAGAGGAAGGCTCTTAACAAGCTCCATTGACACAGAGCTTCAACAGTGGGCTCAGACATAAAAACAATTGTAAAGACCGCATAAGACCAGGAAGTATTTAGCTGTGTTTCACACAAGCAGCTATGAGTTAGAATTCACTGCATGAGATCTAATAACAACAACTATTCCTGAAAACTCTCAATTTAATCAGAAAGACTTATCAAACTCATATACTATAGGAAATTAAGGAGACATGACAACTAAATTCAACTTGGTAGTCTGCTGTTAGAGACTTCTCCAAAATACTGAAGAGCAAAAATGTCAGTCTGAAGACTAAGGTGCGCCTGATTCAAGCCATGATCTGTGCAATTGCCTGCTATGCATCAGAGAGCTGGACAATGACTAAGGATGATAGAAGGAGAATTGATGCCTTTGAACTGTGGTGCTGGAGAAGAGTATTGAATGTACCATGGACTGCCAGGAAAGCAAACAGATTCATCCTAGAGAGGATTAAACCAAGCAACTCCTTAGAGGCAAGGATTCTGAAACTTCATCTGATGTACTTTGGACATGTTGCAAGGCAGGATTAGTCCGTGGAGAGGGATGTCATGCTTTAGGAGGGCAGAGGGACAGTGGAGGAAAGGAAGACCCTCGATGAGACGGATTGATTCAGTGACTAGGGTAATGGGAATATGTGTGTTGGAGACAATAAGATTGGCACAGGATAGAGTAGAGTTTAGGCCTGTTGTATGAGGTCACTATGAGTCGCAGGCAACTTGATGACACATAACAACAAAAACAACAACAAGGTTATATTAGTGAAAACTCATAAGTATGGACAATAAAGTATGAACAGTGGCTGAAGGTAATATAATAACTGTGTGCCAGTTTGGATTTTCAGAGTTAAAAAGTGGACTATGACAGTGTAAGATCTGGAACAACATGAAGTTTGTTTCTGATGGTAATCGTGACAAATGACCATGGATGTGGTGGCCTAAGCCAACAGACATTTATTGTCTCCCAATTCTCAGGGCCAGAATTCTGACCTGAGCCTCCATGAGCTGAAATCAGTGTCATGGTAAGGCCAACCTCCCTCTAATTTTCCTTGGCATAATGCCTTAGTCTATTAACTCATGACTCCCACATCTGCTTCTGTGGTTGTATACTCTGCTCCTTTTCTTTCTGTGCTCAAATCTCCCTCAATCTTGTTATAGAGATAGATTTGATTGCATTTAGAGACTACTAAGTTAAAAGGACTTCATTTTACTTGAATCCACGATCATTATACTTGGGACTAGCAGTCAGGAGATTGGAAGATGTGTTGCATTGGGAAAATCTGCATCAGGGACCTCTCTAAATTATTGAGGAGCAATGATGTCAGCTTGAGGACTAAAGTGCTCCTGATTCAGATCATGGTCTTTTAAGTCACTTGCTATGCATCTGAGAACTGGACAATGACTAAGGATGACTGAAGAAGAATTGATGCCTTAGATTAGTGATACTGGAGGAGAATGCTGAATATCCCATGGATTGTCAAAAGAATAAACAAGGAATGTGTGAAACACTGCATAAATGAAACACAATTTATTTGACTTTTGTATCTGATGGATGGTGAAGAGATTGAGATTGTACACAGCTTTCTTTAGTTTGCTTTGCTCCACAGTCAACAATCTTGGCACCAGCAGCCAGGAAATTAAAAGGCGCATTGCCATGGGAAAGTCTGCTGTTAGGGACCTCTCCAAAGTACTGAAGAACAATGGTGTCTCTCTGGAGACTAAGGTGCATCTGATACAGGCCATGGTCTTCACAATCACTTGTTATGCATCAGAGAGTTGGACAATGACCAAGGAGGATAGAAGGAGAATTGATGCCTTTGAGCTGTGGTGCTGGAGAAGAGTATTGAGAATACCATGGACTGCTAGGAAAACAAACAGATTTGTCCTGGAAAGGGATAAACCGGGTGGCTCCTTGGAGGCAACGATTCTGAGGCTCCGTCTAACATACTTTGGACATGTTGTGAGGAGAGACCGGTCCTTGGAGAAGGACATCATGCTTGGGAGGGTGGAGGGACAGCTCAGGAAAGGAAGGCCCTCTATGAGGTGGATTGATTCAGTGAGTGGGATAATTGGAATGGGAGTGTCAGAGACAGTGCAATTGGCACAGGATAGAGCAGAGTTTAGGGCTGTTGGACATAGGGTCACTATGAGTCGCAAGCAACTCAACGGCACATAACAACAACAACAACAACAACATCCGATCCAATGTGAAAGTTAACTTTTTTTTATTTCATAAAAAGAACAAACAGAGATATCTTGGAGAAGGTAAAAGCAGAGTGACGG